GAGGTTAATTTAGATCACTGGATTATATTACATCAGAAAAAGCAGTGAATATTAAAAAGTACATAACCAAGAAATTAGAAAAGAAATTGCTGAAGATACATAACATATAAAAGGATATAAATTAAGGTGCTGTAGGAATGTAGACAATACTGACTCCATTTTTGGCCCTCCATCTTGTTCCTGTCCTGTCTTGGGGCTACATGTTCGAGGCCCCTTCGAGATGAATATACACATACCTTAGAAAATGCCTGCCAAGGCTGGAATGGGGAAAGGCTTGCTCTGGCCCTCCATCAATTTGTTAAAGATAACACAGTTTCTCACCTTCCTGACTCATAGATGGTAACCTGAGTTCTAATGAAATGTTAGCTATCAATTAGGTTTATATGAACGCTTTGATCTCATTACAATGCCTTCTGCACGACCCCTTGCTCTATAAAATCTATTGACTAAGGTCTGGACACTGCAGAGAATAGCTGTGCTGCTCTGTATGGCTGCCCACCTGATCCTCTCTAACAGTAAGTTATCCTGAATAAAACTCTGTGTAAACTGTGTGGAGTCACCTGCTTCATGTGTGGTCTCAAAGTGCCTTCAACAGGGAGGACAGTATCTTCTGTATTCTAACAGGTAGTATTAGGAATTAATAGCTTTTATAAAATGAACATCTTTGGAGATATTGATTAAGGAAAAATGAAAGACAAAGATGAAAAACCATAAGGCAAAGAAATGAGGACAGGGCAAAGAAATGAGGACAGGACAACCAATCCACAAGAGACAAATAGAAATAATATAAAAACTTAATATGAGTAAATTTTAAAAATTGAGCAGACTTTTTTTGAAAATGTGACATATGCAGAAATCAATTTTAAACCCAGAATAGGCTATGGTAAAGGAATTGGATTATTAGTGTAAAGTCTACCCGCACCAAAACCAGCAGCCCCAATAGGGCTTACAGACATGTCTCCAAATAGTCAGTCTAGGATTAAAATAAATTGAAATTCAATAAGAAAACCTCAAATTAATATATAATATATGACATCATGTACCTCATTTTATAAAACTAGCATAACAGAATAAAACAACCATGTGAGGATTGTATGAAAAAGCCAACTTAAGGGGAAAAGTAATTTCCGAACCTGCATAGTACTTCAAGATAAATAAGGGCTAACATTTATTTTCTTACCAATATCTTCCCAAATTTGAGTACAAATTTATAATATGTAAAATATCAGTTTGACTCCCTATTCTTATACCACCTTAATAGGGCAAATTTTGTTTACACATTTATTTATTTATGAATTAAATCCTTTTTGTTTTAAAATAGTTTCAGATGTATAAAACTATTCCAAAAATACTTCAGAGAGTTTTGGTAAATCAAATCCTGCACCGTTTCTCCTGTTGTTAAATCTTACATTGCTATCATAACTTTCTTACAAATAATGAGAAAATGTTTACACATTATCATTAACTAGTGTCCATACTTGTTCCAAATTTCTTTCATTAGTATCCAATGTTCTTTTTTGTTACTGTTCCAGGATTCTATCCAGGATACCATATTGTTTTTAGTTGCCATACCGCCTTAGGCTCCTCTTGGTTGTGAGTCTTTCTCAGACTTTCCTTATTTTAATGGCCTTGGCATTTTTCTTTCTTTTTCTTTTTTTTCTTTTAGGCCTTGGCATTTTTCAAGAGTACTGCTCAGGTATCTGCGAAAGGCCCCTTAATTTAGGCAGCCTTTGATGATGAAACAGGGCTTTGGAGAAGAAGGCAGTACAGTTTTCCTCCATCATCTCAAGTGTTCATGCCATCAACACATCTTATCCATGTAATGTTAGCAATCATCTTGTAGCAAAGGTATTTGCTCAATGTACTGTCATCCCCCTCCTCCTTTTCCATACTAGATTATTTGGTAAAAAGTCACTATCTGTAGTCCAGAGTTACACAGTGGGAATTGAGGGCAGAGTGCCAACATAGAGTATTTGCAATTCTTCTGCCTTGTAAAGTGTTCTCTTTGTCCTCATTTACTTCTCTCTTCAGTCATTTATTCATATCTATATGGACTGATGTTTATTTTACAGTAGGTTGTAAATGTCCAATATGTTCAGGTTTGACCTTTGAGAAGACTTTCAGTTAGTTCCCATGTCCCTCTGACATACCCTCTGACATACCACCATGCTGTCTCTTGGGCACTTCCTCATGTTCTGGCACTGCAGAAGCTCCAAGCTCACATTGTGTGTTTAAAGCAAAAAGTCAAACATTATTGATTAACAGATAACATGGGTATTTTCACAGGAAATCCCAAGGGCTTCTTAAAACACACTACTTAAAGTAAAACATATATTTAGTCAGTGGTAGGGCACTATGCAAATTTACAAAGTGAATTATAGTTTTAGACCAGTACCAATGAGTTAAAAAATAAATTACATGCACAATTATATGCACAACAAAAGAAAACCACAGGTTTTAACAAACTATATGCAGTACCTCTCTCTTGGGAGCAGTAAGTCGTTACTGAATATTAGGAACTAGATAAGTGAAGATCTATATCATGTTCATGGATATAAAGGCTCAATATTTCTAAGATAACCATTCTTTCCAAATTGGTGTACAGATCCAATGTAAGCCTCATCACAATTCTGTGTGTGTGTGAGTGTGTGTGTGTGTGTGTGTGTGTGTGGTAGAACGAGTGATCGGCTGATTTTAAAATTTATATGGAATTTCAAAGTATCTACAATATCCACAGCAATCTTTGCAAAGTAAAACATTTCTGTAGTAACACCATCTGTTTCCAGACTTGCTGCAGTGCCTCAGTAATCAAGACAACATAATGACTCCTGAAATAGGACAATATTTATATGGTCATTCATGTTTCAGTAACAAAAAATGGGGGAAACAAAAGTCTTTTAAAGAGATGTCATTGACATACACATATATCTCTATAGAATAAAATGGATCTTAACCTCTACCTTACAACATACTAAAAACAATTGAGATAAGCTGTGGACCTGCTTAAAAATCAAAACACATAAAGATTTTGCAGAAAACATAAGACAATATCTTCATGACTGAAGTACACAAAGATTTCATAGACTATAGAAAAGAAAACATATGAAAAACTGATAAATAAGGCTCATCAAAATAAAAATTTCTCACTATACAAAATCACTGCTAGGAATATGAAACAGAACAGCCACAATTTACAAATATTAAAAAAAATGTGGAGTCACTCGAATTTTCAACCATTATTAGTGGGAACGTGAAAATGGTGTAAGTACTATAGAAAAAAATTTAGTTATTTCTTTTTAAAACTAGGCTCTAGAGTTTCCCCTCAAGTTATGATTCATGGAAATTGAGTTAAATGGATGTTTAAAAAATGCACAGTTATGATATTGTGAGAATAAAATAAGGAAAACAAATTAGTCATGTACAGTCCTTTTTAAAATTTCAGAGATATGCTTTAATTTAAAAAACTAAATGTTTGAAAGTTCTATTTAGAACTATCTTAGAGTTAAACCTACTTTTCGATATTTAAGCATGAAGTACTTGCAAATTCACGCAGATAGCACAATTACACTTCCTGTCAAACTGATGCCTGCAGTATTCAGAGAGGGAATGTTTATAACAGCACACATGCAAAGGCTAAAAGACATTTACTAAAACTTGAGTTTTTCCTTTTATTCTTCCCTACCTAAAATTAGACAATCTCTACAAATTTATAAAATTTCTTAAATCAAAACTAAATCTCTAAATATTTATAAAAACCAAAATAAAATCACTGGAGTGACTAATCACAACTTTTCATATCTGAATCAGAAGTCCCTTTCCAGAAGTCAGCATAAGGATGTTTATTATTTGGAAATAAATGTATAAAGATAAGTAACAGCAAAGTAAAATATTGGATACTCACAAGTGGCTAGTTTGCTTTTGGTCTTGCTACATAAAATAAGATCGTAAATCCTACTGATCTGAACAGAGCTTTTACTTTTAATAGGATATTGTTCTATTTAGAACTAACCTGAATACCATTACTTACTTTATTACAGCTTTCTAAATCTTTGAATACTATTACTGAATAAAGCCTCATATTATGAACCATACTGCGAAAAACACATTTTTTAAAAAGTAGCTTTTTTCATGTTTGCTTCAATATATTTAAATAAGGAATCACCAAACATGCTTTATTTTTTAAAATATCATTCTTCAAAATGTTTTAGCCCAATCAATAATAGTTGTGAGTCAACATGAGGATTTTTCCTTATTTGGTATTTCATTAAGGATTATACTTTAAGATTTCAAACTAATATAAAAAAAAAAAAAAAAAAAAAAAAAACTCCCAGGGCAGCCTGGGTAGCTCAGCTGTTAAGTGCCGCCTTAGCCCAGGGTGTGATCCTGGAGACCCTGAATCGAGAGTCCCATGTCAGGGACTGCATGGAGCCTGCTTCTCCCTCTGCCTGTGTCTCTGCCTCTCTCTCTCTCTCTCTCTCTCTCTCTCTCTCTCTCTCTGTCTCTCATGAATAAGTAAATAATATCTAAAAAAAAAAAAAAAACCTCCCAGTGCATTAAATGATGGCATATTCTGTTCCTACACTCCCTAATTACTTACTTTTTTCCTCCTTATTTATTCTTGGACATCAACTGAACAGTTTAGGCAATAAATTATATATATGTGTATATATATATAATACATATGTATTCATATGCTTCCAACAGGCCCCATTAAGTTAATGAATGCAAAACTTTGTCATTAAATTAATTTTTTGGTATCTTTAAAAAATTGGTTAACTTAAGTCGGAAATTTCAAAACCTGGAAAATTAAAAATTCGTTAAATATTATTGCAAAATAATTTTCATAAAAGTATTTTATTTTGTAATGTTTTCCAAGTATTTCATTTTCATTTTCCCTTTTAAATTGGCAATAATAAATTAAACAAAATCGATACTGTGAAAAATTCACATTAAATTGATTTATTTGAAGCATTAAAGAGGTAATCTCAAAAGTTGGGATATGCTCACTTCAGCAGCATATGGCTACAATTGGAAGAATACTGACAAGATGAGCATGGCTCCTTTACAAGGATGACACACAAATTTGTAAAATGTTCCATATTAAACAAACAAAAGAGTTGATGATTCATCTGCTTCTTCCTATCTAAATCATGCAAGAGGGCACCATCAAAACTTCAGCTACCTTAAGATAAACCAAATGACTTAACAAGTGAACATTTAAAATTGAACTTTTAAATCAAATATACTGGAGCAATTTCCAGTAAAATAATTAGATCAATATTGGAACATCTGGCGCCTACTCGTCAATTCTTGAAAGTATCTTCTAACAAGCAACTATTACTGCATTTCTACCACTTACCACAGAAATCCACCAAGGATCAACAAAACAATATTGCCAAAGTACATTTGCCATTGACAAAACACTCTCCCCTTGCCTACATTAGCATTATTTTGTGAACAAGTGGGATGTGCTTGAAAAGATAAAGCCAGAACATTAAAATAATAAAAATAAAAGCCAACTGAGAACTAGCATCCTAAATCTACATTAAATATCCTATTTCAGTATTCCATGGCACTGTTGGAATATTTATTTTATTAAAGTATTTTAAAATTTAACTTTTTATTGAGTCAAATTTACATATTGTAAAATTCCCTCATTGTAGGTCTATATATTTTTTTTTATTTTTAGTAAATTTATGGAGTTGTGTGATGATGACTATGATCCAGTTTTAGAATATTCCCATTATCTAAAAAAGCTTCCAAATACCTATATGAACTTTACTCTGTTCTGACCGCCACCATGGCAATCAATGACTCTACAACGATCTTTGCTTGTCATTTTATATTATGGAATCCCACTATATAAAACTGTTTGATTGTGGTTTCATTCATTTAGAATAACATTTTTGAGATGCATATTGTAAAATGTATTAGCAGTTCGTTCATTTTTTTTTTATTGGTGAATTGCATTCCATTGCACAGATGTAGCATATTTTGGTTATCCTTTCACTGGTTCATCAACAATACACTGCTTCTAGGTTTTGGCTTGTGTGTATAATCCTTCAAGAATTCCAAGTACATGTCTTTGTGTGAATATGTTTTTATTTTTCTTAGTTCATATGGTAAGTTTATGTGTAACTTTTAAGAAAACTATCACACTAATTTCCCTAAGTGTCTGTAACACATTCCATTCCCATGAGTAATGTGGGGTAGTTCCAGTATCTTCACATCTTTACTCCTACTATTCTCTTTTTTATTATAGCTTTTCTAGTGGATTTAGAGATATATCTTTGTGGTTTTCATTTGCATTCCCCTAATGAATAACAATGCTAAGAATCTTTCCAATTTCCTGTGAAACATTCATATATTTTCTTTATTCCATTGTCTGTAAAATGGTCCTTTTCTGTTCTTTCTTTCTTCTTTCTTTCTTTCTTTCTTTCTTTCTTCTTTCTTTCTCTTTCTTTCTCTTTCTTTTTGAGAGAGAGAGACAGAGATAGTGGCAGGGAGTGAGAGAGGGCAGGAGTGGGGAGGAGAGGAGAAGCAGACTCCCTGCTAAGCAGGGAATCCTATGTGGGACTCAATCCCAGTATTCTGGGACCATGACCTGAGCCAAAGGCCGAAGCTTAACTGACTGAACTATGCAGGTGCCTCTTCTGGATTTTGTTGTTGTTTTTGTTGGATTTTGTCTTCTTATTAATAAGTCTTAAGAATTCTTCATGTATTTTGAATACAGTCTTTTACAGATGTATGATTAGCACATTTTTTTCCAGTCTTTGTCTTTTCTCTTTAATGATTTCATCTAAAGCATATATAGGTTTTCATTTTGAGGAACCCTAATTCTTTTTCCCTTTGTAAGTCATGCTTCTGCATGCTTTGTCATATCTAAAACCATTTGCCTAAACGAAGGTCACACAGACTTTCTCCTGTTTTCTCTTAGATGTCAAAGTAGATTTTTTTTTCTTACATTTATGTCTATAATCTCATTTTGAGTTGTCTGATAGCATGAAGTAAGAGTTTAGGAGTTTAAGTTCTCTTTTCCATGCACATGGTTAGCCAGTTGTCCAAAACAAAAATTGTAGGAAAGACATGTACATGTCCCCTAGAGTTAGCTGGGCATATTGTTGAAAAGTAATTGAGCATTTATGTAAGGATTAATGAATTTATCCTCAAGTCTATCCCAGTGAATCTACATCCATCTTTTTCTGTTTTATGCTGATCATTTGACTAAAGTTTGTCATTTTTGTTAATCTGTTTAAATTACCAACTTCTGGGGTGCCTGTGTGGCTCAGTAGGTTAAGCATCTGTCTTTGGGCTCAAGCTAAGATCCCCAGATCTTAGAATTGAGCCCCATATTGGGATCTCTGCTCAGCATGCTGCTCATGCTCTCTCTCTCTCTCAAATAAATAAACAAAAAATCTAAAAAAAAAAAATCACCAGCTTTTAATATCATTAATTTTGTCTATTTTTTTTCTGTCTTCTGTTTCATTGATTTATTATTTCATCTTAATTATCATCTTTTTTTCAGCTTGTATGCTTAGATTGTTCTTTTGCTTTGTTTTTAATACAGGTTATTGACACAATCTGTTTTCCACTAAGCACTGTTTCAGGTGCAGTCCATAAGCCTTACACATTGATTGGTTTGTTTTTTTACTCAGTTTCATTCAGTTCAAAATATTTTCTGATGTGACTTGACTTTCTTTGTGACTTGTTGAACCATGGCGTTGCTTAGAAGTGTGTGGTTTATTTCCAAATACTGCGATGGTTATCTACCATCAGTAGGTTTCACAGTTAAATATACAAATGAGTTGGCTTGGATAGGATGTCATTATTAAGTTCATTTTTACAACTGCTTGTTAAAAAGGCTATATTCCTAATATATATTTGAGTAGTTACCTTTTTATTTGAAAATTTATGTAATTTTATGGGGCTCCTTGGGTGGCTCAGTCAGTTGAGCATCTGATCTTGATTTCAGCTCAGGTCATGCATGATGTCAGGGTCACAAGAATGAGCCTCAATTCAGGCTCCCATGGAGGCTAATTAAGAATCTCTCTCTTCTGGGATGGGACACCTGAGTGCGTCAGTGGTTGAGTGTCTGCCTTTGGCCCAGGTTGTGATCCCAGGGTCCTAGGATCTAATCCCACACCAGGCTCCTTTCAGGGAACTTACTTTTCCCTCTGCCTATGTCTCTGCCTCTCTGTCTCTCATGAATAAATAAATATTAAAAAAAAAAAGATTCTCTTTTTCTCCATCCGCTCCTTCCTCCCCCCTAAAAAATTCTGTAACAAATAAAAACTGGCAAAATCTATTTTTCCATATCTGTAACTAAATGCTATACACATCAGCAATGCCAAATATGGAAGACTGACCTATCTTTCCTTGTTGGGTAAATATATTCCTCCTTTCTTCACACACACACACATCCATCCCTATACACAAACACACACATACAAAACATGTTTAAGCTGTTTGCTCTTTAGATCAATTAACAAGGGTTTCATATATAATAATTGATTTTGTACAAATATGAAAGTTACCTGCACTATCAGGACAGGGAAGACCATCGTTCCCAAATTTTCTAAATAACTGAAGGGAAAGTATCTTCGTCAGAATTTTGTTTCATTTGTGTTGTGAGTATCCTTAAAAGGTATGTTGCTAATGAACATCTATTGAGTACCCATTCTGTAGTCAACATACGACTAAGCAATAGTTCAATAGAAGTAAAGGTCTATTACTTCACAGCTTCCTGTTACTTTTATCTGGATATCTTAGACTATGACTTATCTATTCAATACTGAATTGCGCCAAGTTGGATATAATACCCCACAGATTTTCATGCCCAATGTGATTCCTACTTCTGCTTTCAGATAATTTGGCATTCAGAGACTGTAAAGCTTAACACTTTAGAGATTTCCAGCTATAAATATTTAGGTGTTGCAACAGTTTCTATCTAGGAGTAAAATACAAAACATCAGTAATCAGATCTTTTTCTTTGTTTGTTTTCTGCTCTATCTAAAAGGAAAAGAAAGCGTGCCTGGCCAGCTCAATCCATAGAATATGTGGCTCTTGATCTCAGGGTTGTGAGTTCAAGCCCCATGTTGGGTGTAGAGATTACTTAAAAATAAAATCTCAGAAACAAAGAAAAGGAAATGACTATACTGAAGATTCAGGCAGCCCATTATTACTTAGTGGGTGGAGGGCTATTTTGGGTGTCTGCGAGATGTCTTTATTCACAATTTTTAAGAATATTTTTTTGATTTTTCCAGCCATTTTGTACTGTATTTACAGATCTTACATTTATTGCAAATATACCTACATCAACATGAGTTTCAGTTGGCATAATTTAAAATGCAAGATGTTTGGGCCTGACAATGGTTTCTGGAACTGAATTTATGAGAAATGACTCTAACTCTTCATTGCTTTCAGACCAGAGTTCTACCGTGGATTACCTCTTAATTGGTATGGAAGCTTATAATTGCAGCAGTTCTTTGGAATCCTTTCATCAAAAGTACTCATGCAGAGACTTAAAACATATCCCAAACCATCTATCTGAAAATCTGCATACAGATTATTTTCTGCCTCAATTAAAGTCCAGCTCAGATGGCTAATGTCCTTTGAGTCAGCTGTAAAATGAGTAGCCCTCAACTGTCCACACAAAATGACAAGGCATCCTTTTAAAATTCTATTTCTGAGATGAATGGATAAAGAAGATATGGTTTATGTATACAATGGAATATTACTCAGCCATTAGAAACGACAAATACCCACCATTTGCTTCAACGTGGATGGAACTGGAGGGTATTATGCTGAGTGAAGTAAGTCAATCGGAGAAGGACAAACAGTGTATGTTCTCATTCATTTGGGGAATATGAATAATAGTGAAAGGGAATATAAGGGAAGGGAGAAGAAATATGTGGGAAATATCAGAAAGGGAGACAGAACATAAAGACTCTTAACTCTGGGAAACGACCTCTGGGTGGTGGAAGGGGAGGAGGGCGGGGGGTGGGGGTAAATGGGTGACGGGCACTGAGGGGGACACTTGACGGGATGAGCACTGGGTGTTATTCTGTATGTTGGTAAATTGAACACCAATAAAAATTAATTTATT